TTATTCGAATGAGCACATTCCGAGGCTAAATCTGCAAAAGGACAGATAAAATATTTCTTTGTACAATGCAAACGATACAAACGTAGCGGCTGATAATAGAGACAATGATTTAAAAATCTGCAATATATCAAGTGTTCTCGTTCAATCTATTGTACATATTAAAGTGATTGTAAAGTTTCAAGGAGTACTAAAATGTTGTGGTATTATGAATGTATTTAGAATATGAATAGCGAAAAACAGTCACCATATCGGATGTACATGTATAACTTGTCTTCCAACACCACGCTTGTGCCGAGGCCCATGGTCATAAAACTAATCGGTCCCAGATACTTCTTGCTATGGTTCACTCACAATTGTCAGACGACCTAATCATCGGTCAGACCAGTCAAGTGTGACCAGCGTACCTGCCTGGTTTTGGCTCCTAATTACTGAACTGTCCAATACTTTCATACTGTGGGCAAAGTAAGCGGCCTCGTTGAGTGATACAGACTAACCAGATTATGATTGTGTTTGTAAGTTGCGTTTAATCTGTGTCGGGCTGCAGTTGTTTTATTAGTCAAGACGAGGGGTAGTTTTTTCAATGAAACCTTTTAGCCGTTGAGTTTGTTTTGTATTCATTTCATTAAATACATTGTTAGGTAGAATAATAACACGTTATATGGATAAAACATCTCCCTAATCTGAGTATAATCTCACATGTACTCTAAGTACCGTACTATATTACTTTGCGGAGACACTGAGTATACTTTTTTAGTTGGCATTGTATGCTGTCTGAATGACTTTACACAAATCCCTGCATTCAATAGACCCGTGAAGATCTTCAACAAACCATTCTTGGCGTAAAAGGGCGACAACACTTGTCGTAAGAAGCGACTACCGGGATCGGGTGGTCAGGCTCGCTGACTTGGTTGATGCATGTCATCGTATCCCAATTGCGTGGATCGATGCACATGATGTCAATCACTGGATTGTCTGGTCCAGACTCGATTATTTACAGACCGCCGTCATACAGCTGAAATATTGCTAAGTGTGGCGTTATACAACTAACAAACAAACAAAACACAAAAAGAGAAAGTGTATGAGTACTAAAACTTGCAATAGATATGCGTACCCTACGTACACACATGAGTCCCATTCGACAGTCTACAACACACGAATAACTGTCAAATAAGTTTGGGTACCCCTTCTGTTCAGGCAAGTTATTTAGTTCGATAATTTTGTATTAAAATCCTTTTCAATTTGTTTTCATCCTTTTTCCCTATTCCATGCATGTTTATGTTGCTACATCTTATTGCTCATGTTTCCAAGTATTGTAAAACACTTTAATGTTTCTCCTGCTTAATCTAACGTTATAACATTTCCGGTCATTGCCATCATCTAATACACAAGAGATGATACCAAGACATATTTTATTCGGTTTTGTGGTCTATGCGGTCTTACAATTGATTTTATTAGTCTTTAAATCTTATGTCTAGTAAATATTTTCACAAACAGGGCTGTTAACTGATAAAAGGGATGTAACATCCAGTTGAGGACTGAATACGACGTACGTTAGTCTGGTAACGACATTTCTACAATTAATATTTTGAATAAGCCGTTAATACGCCAGTTGTGACAGGGATGATGGTATGGTAGATGTAGCAGACATATTGACAGCCGTTGTTACGCGAGTCACTAGGTTATTAGTACGGCATTGGCCTTGTTGATTGGTACTATACTTTCTGTGGCCACTGGCGGACGTAATTCAAACTCCTTCCACACTGACATCGCACCAAATATATTTGTGTACCGATTACATAACTCTTACTGACAGGGTAGGGTGGTAGTTCACGCGAAACGGACGACGCTGTGTATATTGAGCGGCTCCTTTGATATCGCCTCACAACATACTTTTAATGAATGACCAATTAAACGATGATACACATCAGGATCGCGGAGAAAATACAAGCTTCGTTCGCGTTGAATATATATATCAAGGCACAAATTCATCTTTCATAAACTTTTTGTGTCTTGGTGCTTAATATATCCACATATCAACGAAAATATGTAATACATGTATCCACAAAAATATACATGTACAGGCTAGGTATTTGCCCACAGCAACACCTGCATAACTGTTTATTCACGCGTGGTGTGGCAGATTGTAATTGACCGACAACAAGTATTGTAGAATCACCTGTAAATAAGGCCGACACTGTAATTAGACACAACGTACTAATGAGAATTATCATAAGAAGGCTGTTGTTTTTTCTGGACTGTTACCATTTTCATACCAAAAGTGACAATGCAGTTAAAAGTTGCTTTAGTGTCACAATATTCACTCACGTTTTCCTCAATCGCATTGAAACATAATTCCTACTGGTCAGTTCGACACTGCTTGTAATTAAATAATTATTTCGAGATTTCGTTAGAATGTAAGATATTCAGCCAAACGTTATGCAATAAAAGACGAATAGTTTCTTTCCATTAAAATACGCGCACGCGTACCTGTCACGTAATTGCACAGTGGGATGTATCAACGGGTCATAAAATGGGAAATGAAATAGAAACTAACTAAAATCTAATGTTGTACACGCACATGAATTCGTATGATAAACTGCCAAAACGTTTTGAGAGATAAGGCCGGGTTCATTGAAGATGTTGGGTGCGGTTAGGACCAAACTTTTTCAGCTCAGAGTGTTAGTGGTCCTGGAACCCATAGTGTCAAACAGGTTCTGCACAATACGTCAATCAGATTCTACAGCATTGTCACTGAATTTCAGAACTCTGGCATGATATAATAATCAAGGATTTCGAAGGCAAAACCTTTTCTCGCCCATGGGCGAAATATTTCAATAAATCTGTAAAATAGCTGAATTGAGTAAAATTGAGTTACATTATGTGCCATGAAAATAGTAAGAACACCTGCATGTATTTGCGAAACAAAAACATAAGTTTTAAGTAAAGGAAAATATTCTCGCCCATGGGCCAAACCTTTTTCTCGCCCATGGGCGAAATATGTCAATATCGCTATAAAATCGTTGAATTAAGTTAAAATGAGTTACATTTTGTGTCATGATACTTAAATAAATACATTTAATGTATTCGCGAAACAAAAACATGAGTTTTAAGTAAAGGAACATATTCTCGCCCATGGGCCTGCCCATGGGCCTACCCATGGGCCAAACCTTTTTCTCGCCCATGGGCGAAATATGTCAATATCGCTATAAAATCGTTGAATTAAGTTAAAAAGAGGTAAATTTTGTGTCATGATACTTAAATGAATACATTAAATGTATTTGCGAAACAAAAACATGAGTTTTAAGTAAAGGAACATATTCTCGCCCATGGGCCTGCCCATGGGCCAAACCTTTTTCTCGCCCATGGGCGAAATATTTCAATATCGCTATAAAATCGTTGAATTAAGTTAAAATGAGTTAAATTTTGTGTCATGATACTTGAATGAATACATTAAATGTATTTGCGAAACAAAAACATGAGTTTTAAGTAAAGGAACATATTCTCGCCCATGGGCCAAACCTTTTTCTCGCCCATGGGCGAAATATTTCAATATCGCTATAAAATCGTTGAATTAAGTTAAAATGAGTTAAATTTTGTGTCATGATACTTGAATGAATACATTAAATGTATTTGCGAAACAAAATCATGAGTTTTAAGTACAGGAACATATTCTCGCCCACGGGCCAAACCTTTTTCTCGCCCATGGGCGAAATATTTCAATATCGCTATAAAATCGTTGAATTAAGTTAAAATGAGTTAAATATTGTGTTATGATACTTGAATGAATACATTAAATGTGTTTGCGAAACAAAAACATGAGTTTTAAGTAAAGGAACATATTCTCGCCCATGGGCCTGCCCATGGGCCTACCCATGGGCCACACTTCGCCCATGGGCAGGCCCATGGGCGACATAGTCTAAATATTGAGTTTTTAAACAATTTTTTTTTATTTTTTTATTCCTTGGTATGTTCCCATGAAAACGGCATGTTTAATTTTGTAAATACCTTTAACCGAGACTGGGCAAAGAGCGTAGAGTTTCTGGACTTTTGGGTTTCCAGAATTAAAATGGGACGTGTTTACAACAATAGTTGCAGTACCTATGGTTTTAACTGCATCGATATAGGCAACGGGAAAACGGGGGAATTGAAAGTATGATTGTGGGTTCCAACTGGATTACCTGCAAAAATTCTAACACAAAACAAACGAGATAAGTTCTCCAAGATATGTGAAATAAGTTTAATTTTTAACCAACATGAATTAATGTAATGACGATTGTCATGTTTTACTGTTTTAACCGCATGAATTATCCATATGTCCCAACATTCACAAAACACTTTGCTATGACTCGTTTCATGAGTACAGATTGATGTATATAGGTATAAAGTGTTCGAGAGTGACTTGTGAAGAGCTCAAGTTAACGACGACATGGTTTTAACCGTACCAGTATAGCACCAGTAAAGCACTGGCACTCTATTCGCAAATACAACAAACCAATTTGGGTCCTTGTAAACAGCAAAACTTTGGAGAAACCATTAAACGTGACCCTCCTTTACGTGCATTTCAATTGCATTTTTACCATATGTGTATTGACTTATAACATAGTATTATGCATGGAGACTTCTTACCTCAACCTCATGCTAATCATTTTCGTCATTCATAATATTGTATTCAGCAGTGTGACACCGGGTATAGAATTAACAATATCTTTATTTATCGCAAGAGATTGTCAGTCGTTCTTGAACCTATATGTTCGACAATTTAACATATGGTCAACAAACAAAACGTAAATAAGAGCATAGTATTTGTTCATTGAATGTAGTAATCTTGAAGAAAGTCAACAGAAACACCAGAAACTTCCATGAGGGTTGTGTTCCAATTAACGTCATCCTGTGGCGAATTGCAAATCTGTGGCGTTGCGTCATGAACAACACTCAGATCTTGCTACAATTTGAATATTGTAAAATATTTTACAACATATAATGTATTTTTTTAATTTTAGCAATGCAAATTGTTCATGGACAATCAGCACCCGCCTTGAAGGATATGTAATCCAGGTCCAAGTGGTGGATTTCTACCTGGAGCCACACAGCTCGTGTTTCTATGATTATGTGCAGCTCTATTACGGTAATGACTTTATGATTTACAACCATTAAGGGCTTTCCTATAATTGAGTAAGAGAGACAGTGTGTTATGCACACGAATAAGCGTCTCTATGTTGACGAGTGTAACTGTTTTTGTAAGAGAAGTGTCATTTTATCATTGCAATAAAACGATGTTAATCCAGGTTATACCTCGTCGTTTGAGCTGCAGAGTAGGAAATGTCATCGACAAGAATCACATCGGGTTTTAACTCCCACTTTATACTGAAAAATAAACATAAAATCATGTGGAATAATTGAATATCATTCCCAAATATATGTTAAAAGTAATGCCTGTCTTAACACAGCTAGCATCCTAGCATGTGTATGTGATTCGTTGTCAGTATAACAATATCTTCATAATATCATACACATGTTCTATTCTTGCAATAGTCACTGGAACATATGAACGCTCGCTTGGTCGATGGTGTGGATTGGATGGACCAGATCCACAGAGTGCAGGGATGAGTATGAAGGTTCGATTCCACTCCGATAGTTCGAGCACCTTCAAAGGATTTAAATTGGCCTTCACTGCCTGCGAGCCAACATCTTCCTGTAAGTTTTTAAGTTGTATGCATTCATTTCAAAATACATCGAATCTGTTAAGACAGGACGAATAAGATGCATCGATCGGCACCCCTACTATAATGTTTATGTCACGTCTCTGTCATTGTACTTTTCCATTGTATCCGTGTTGATTAACATCTGCAGCGTATTTTGCACCATACAGTATATTAACTACCTTGAGCAGAACATTTGGGCTTAAACCGTGATTATACATACCACGTGTTTAGATGACTAAGGAATATCTTGAGGGTAGGGGTTGACCATGGAGGTGGAGGGAGGGGGCACAGTGGCCAGGATGACTAAACTGTCACTTATTCACACTTTTTATGTTTACGAGACCAGCGTCCATTCATTTCACATTGCATCAAGATGCCTAATCTGTACATGGCTAAACTAGTTACAGAGCGGCCTTAATCTAAACAGTTATAAACTGTTTCATCGTTTGTGAATAATGTGTCACGGGTTGTAGAGGGGGTAGTTGTCTATTAATTATTATTGCCCTTTGTAGTTGAACAATTGGCAGTTGACACCTATGCCATGCTGTTATCAATGGCTCGATAAATGTAATACAATGACAAATATGCGTGTATTATTACCTTCTGTGAAAACGTTTCCCCAGCATAAGAACCAGCAAGAAAAACATGAGAACCGCTAGATCTCCCTTTAACATTAACTTCTCAAGCAATCTAGAACCTTGGAAACATCAGACAGGTTATGTTTGACATTATGAGGACGCTGTTGGAAGGTATAGATGCGTGGCATGCTGTAACAGAACGCAATAGAGTTATGAAACCACAATACTTTTGCAATAATTTAATTGTTGTGAAACGTTCAGGAATCTATTTCAAAACAATATTTAACGCACATTCTACCAGAGTTCTTATAAAGTCATGTAATACACATGTCTGTGACAGTCGTTCTTTCGGCAAGCTATAATATAAAAAATCACCTTAAACGAGAATATAATTATTATTCAGCTTCTGTGTCCAGAAACTTTGGAACAATACCATTCAATGAACTTAATAAGTGCGATACTCGTCTTTTTATAAAGTTCCTTTTCGTGTTGTTTATTTTGTACAGCGTCTGTTTCACCGAACCTTGGAGGCATAATTGGAGGGGTATTCGGCGGCATTGTGGGCGTTGCAATTGTAACGTGTTGCTGCTGTGGAATTTGCTCCAGGAAAAAATCCACAACCAATGACCAGTCGCAAGGGAACAGATCACGTGAAGTCAACCTGAACACCGTCTACACTGTCCCAGTCTCAAACTACCCACCAACTACGGCAACTACCCAGCCGGCCATGTTTACTCCACCTCCAGCTTACAGTGAAGTCGTGAAGGACGACCCTCCACCGTACTGTCAGGCAGTTCCACTATCAGATATACTACCTCTTGTGACGTCGTCCCCTAATGGCGCATCTTCATATCAAGGGACAGATAACCCAGCAGGCCCTAGTTGAGTGACAGCTGCACATGATGTCCACGTTTTGAATTGCTGGAGTAAATAGAAAATGACACATACATGGATACTCCTTCACACAAATTAGCGTCTTCATCCATTTTAGCATATTTATTATGACAAATCAAATTATGACAAATGACAGCAAATAATAGCAACTTTAACAATTGTTCTGAAAACAAACCTAAGAGGTATACTTTCTATTATATCTGGTTTTTAATGCAATTACCTGTATTTTCACATTATCTACATCCCGATCTATTTGGGTCATGTGGGATGTTGATTGTAGAACTGTGCATAACCAAGGATCAGAAGTCAACTGATCGGTATTCAATAAAGACTATCACAATCATGCAACAAGCATGTCACAATTATGAATGGATGATAACACAATTACCACGATGAGAAACGTCTTGGTCGCGCAGCATATACTTGTAATTGTTTTTGTTTTTTTGTTATTAAACTATTTTGTATATCAAATGATGCTTGGTGTTAGTGTTAAGTTTATGTTAATTTGAACATGAAAGCTTGTTACAAATCATATACATATTTTACATATGGGCATGAAGTCCACGTGCATATGCGCGTGCGTGTGCGCGTTCCTATGTCTGTCACAGGTGTCTTAATACAGTATTGAACCTGAAAGTACAACATAACACTGAACACAGATGGAATCCACGATCATAGGTAATCAAGAATCAAATTAAATGGCGAATCTTTTCCAAAAGGGACGCTGGATCTGCCATTGTCAATGAAAGCATGGACCCCGTGAGGGCCCGGGGTAGAATGTGCCCCCCTGTACCCCATTGGTGATCGTAAGAGGCGACCAAATTGGTCAACTTGTTTGACATGTGTTGCGTGCCTATTTAGGCAGAGGAAGGGAGTCTGGTGGCTGAGGGCGTTGGGCTGTCAATTTGTGTTTCTCAGTCCAAAGCACCACTTCGACCCTAACTTTGCCTAGACGGGTGTAGAATTGGCACGATTATATCAATCAATATATCAATGTTCATACTCTATTTCCCACAAACGTTTGATATTGTAACATAAATTTATTCTAAATGTCTATTATATATGTATCAGTCTATGAACTTGCTTAGAGCCCTTGGACCAGAAGTGACTCAAAGGCCAACCTGGTGATGTTGAACTCCGAATTCTGTACGTCTCCAATTAAATTTCATGGCCCGAACCAGCCTGCCCTTAAGTTTGGTAGATAGCTATAGCTCTCGTGGCAAATTCGATGGAGCAAAACACCGCCTTATCCTCGCTCTTTGCAGCTTGGAGATCTGCTGCAGCATAAGACTGTCCTTGTTGACATCCATGGTGGGTGGGAGAGGGGCGCTGAACCATTTCTCTTTCGACATGGCTTCCCTTCACCTGGTGCAAAACGAAGATATATAGAATCTGACCATTCATCTGGCGAACATACCCCCAACAAATCCGACTTTTGGACACGTTCTTTTATTATTCTCATGTAATAATTGTCCGCGACAGAGTTCGCTGCCTGTCCAGCATGACCGAAGATGGAATAGTCCAAGAACATGTCCAGCAGTCTGTCAGGATGCTTTGGTTGAACACATACGTCTTCACTGTTACCCTTTCGATAATTCCACTATCTATCAAAGGTGGTTATTGTAGCACTGGAATGGAGGTGTACATCCCCAATCCGGTGCTACACCTGCCAGGCATTTAGACATGGATCCAAGTCCTGCCATGCCCCTTCTGTTTGTTACCACTGCGGTGACAAGCACGAGAACACTGACTGCAGGAACTTCATTGGTAACCACATGTCCTCTTCTAAATCCTGCCCTGTGTGGCAACGTGAATTACAGATAACGAAAATCAATATTGAACTAAATCTCTCCTACCATGAAACTAAGAAGAGATTGTAGGTTTTACTGCAACCACCTCTACCATTTCATACTCTGCTGCCTGCACCTCCTGTAGCCAGCGCCACTATCGACTGCCAGACTGATTTGACATGGGCAAGTATGTTCAATTTCTTCCCCCTGATTTACTGCAAAAATAAGATGCGACACCTTCGTCAGTGACACCTCCAAACAAAAACTGTTAAAAGATTCGAGTCTCAGACTCCTAAATCAGCAAGTGAACCAGGAACAGAAATTGTTGATCTTTCAAAGAAAGAACGAAAATTATTAAAGCAAAATCAGCAAACAATCCTGTAAATCCTGTGGGGTACCATGCAGGAAGCAGATGTCCCGTAAGTCATCATGCTCCCTACAATGGTGGCCTAACTATGGTTGCTGGTGATCCATTTGTATGGTAACATACTAGTTTTAAATCTATCTCTGTGAAAATCTAGTGCTGTAACTTTCCTTCATCGACAGGTGTTATAGTCTATAATTATCTGTTACTACTATACAACTCGATATAGTCACGATATGGCTGAAATATTGCCAATGTGACTATAAATCTTAACTCACTTACTCACACACTCCACACGATCGCGTGACATGTCTCCTGTGGAAGCACCACCATGAATCCACAAAACATAACATTGGAATTGCAGAGGTCTTACGAAGACGTTTAATGAAATACAGCTTTTAATTCATGATTTTAAACCGTCAGCTTTTCGTCTCCAAGAAACGTACTTAGAGAACACAGATCAATTTGATATCCGTCAATACAGTTCTGTCCACTCATGTTCCCCTCCTGGTGATAAAGCTAAAGAAGGTTCTTCTATCCAGGCGATGCAAGGCATAATCCATACACTAATCTTCAAACTGTTGCTGTCTGTGTTACATTGTGGTCAGTGTGTCTTCCACCTTCCTCAACTGTCCGCCACTCAGATCTTCAAACTTTGTATGATCAGCTCCCGAACACTGTATCATCATGGGTGATTTAAACGGTACTGATACAAATAGCAAGGGAAGAGTCCCTGAAGACTTTATTATCTCAAGCAATGATCTATGCATCTTCAATGATGGATCTAAAACTGCATCCTACCCCTGGCACATACTCTGCCCTTGACATTTCACTGACAGATTCAAATATTTTAAACGAATTTGAATGGTCCGTCAATGATGGCCTTTGTGGAAGTGACCACTTTCCAACACTACTTACAACTATCACTCCCGCTGACGAACCACCTTAAAAAGGTGGAAGTTGGCAAAAATCTAACACCTGACAATTTCAGGAATGTTCCTGATCATACACAACTATATTCATATCAATTAAATGCCACTGGAGACGAAATCATTCCTAAGTCCTCTTCAAACAGTCATAAACGTAAACCATGGTTTGAAAATGATTGTAAAAAAGCTAGTTAACCTAAAAAATAATGTTACAATCATGAGCGCCAAAGCGAGAGATACTTTTAAACAGAATAAATGTCAATCCAGGAGGAACTAAGTATCTAAAATCAGTTCCTGCATACACATGTGTATCATATGGAACATGATTTAAAAGATTAAGGGCAAAGGGTCAAAATCTCGAGTTCACATCTCAAAGATGATAAGACACTATTCACAACTAAATCTGAAATTGCACACTTGGTGAAACTTCGGCAAATCATTCCTCCTCTTCAAATTATAACTCTCAATTTCAGAGGTTTTAAAATACAACAGGAAAACAAAAAAAAGTAAATTGTTACTCTGATAATGATGAGAACTACAATGAAACACTTTCACTCTGTGAATTGCATACTGCCCAGGGGAAAGCTCATGACACTACAGCAGGAGTTGACAACATTCATTATCACCTCCTGAAACACATGCCCAGTTCATGTTTGGAAACTCTACTTAATATATTTGATGAAATATGGACAACCGGAAATTACCCTCCTTCGTGGCACAATGCTGTTATTATTCCTATACCAAAGCCTCTGGCCAGGATCATACAGATATATCCAATTACAGTTCAGTATTATTAACTAGCTGTGTTTGTTCATGCCTGTCTGATCATTTCGATCAAGATCAGGGCGTCCCTCAAGGCAGCATCCCATCTGTCACACGTTTTCACATCAAAATTAACAGTCTCACAAAGACCTTAAACAATAGTGTTGATGGTTCACACTTTGTGGACGATTTCAACATTTATTGTTGTGGTAAGAATTTGCATACAAATAGGCCTAAGACTCTGTGTTGGAGCTTTTTAGACCTCGTCTCGTGGACAGCTTGTATGTGGAAGCTGATGAACCTTCCCACGAACAAAGCTCCATTGAACTATCACTGATATACATCTCTAAATTGCAATAAAATCAAACAAACCCAGCATGCAATTGTGTTTTCAACCCTCGGAGTGAAAACCTATTTCGATATTTGTCCAACCTGGTTCCACCACTTGGAAATAGAATTCAACCACACATAACGGCAGCTCAAATATATCCAAATATCATATCTCCATACTGACATCTGTCTACTCTTCCCTGGCAGATGGTGAAGCCAGAGGTAGACCTCACTCTAACCCAGCTAAAAAACTGAAACAAATCCTTTGGTTTATCAACAAGCATATAACCAATTACGAACAAAATATAATACTCACAGATCTATTTTTGCAGACGGGTCCATGGATAGTGGCACGATGCCAGTGCAACCATCAGTGGATCCAGAACTGTATTCTCAAGAATCCCAGGTAATAGTTCAATCTTCATTGCTGGGGTCAAAGCTATCTTAAGAGCTTTGGCCCATATTAAACAACAAAACCAATCTAAAAATGTTATCATCATCTCAGATTCTTTGTCTTGCCTTCAGGCACTGTAAAGTGTCTTCTCAAATCATCATATACTCCTAGACATTTTAGAACTTTTCAATGATCATTCTACTGACCAATGTGACATCGTCTTTAGCTGGTTGCCAAGTCACGTAGGCATAACAAGTAATTCAAAAGCCGATGCTGCAGCTAAAGCAGCTCGTGACAAACCGTTGTCTCCACTACATATCCCGTACAGTGATTCCAAAACATTGATCAATTCTCGGGATCTCATGCAAAAAAGAATGGACAACCTTTTCGGAATCAATAAAATACATGAATTTAAACCAACAATCGGTCATACCTACCTGGGTTGTCAGTCAAGACATGCTGAGGTCGTTTTACGATTATAGCCACAGTAGGTTCACCCACGGATATCTGCTTAAAACAGATGAGGACGAACCTGGTTAGTGTATTCCTTGTGATGAAGGTTCACCGTCAAGCATATATCAATATGCTGCTTCGATAAATATATTTTTCTAGCACTAAAAAACTCAGGCATGGCAGAATAGAGATAAACCTACTGTGTTTTCAATGTAGAACTAGAATACCTGCTACGTATACCTCGCTAAATTTAATGTTTGAAATATCACGCAACGCGTTCTGTCTAAATTCGAATAAGGGAGTTTAAATCTACAAGTAACCTATCTCTAGTTTTGAAGACACAGTATAATTTGTGCAACCACTATACATATATTGCTTCTATTCTGACAACATTGACATGCATTGTATAATCAATACATTCGTGGATAATGCAGCTTCTAAATGCCACTTGGT